AGCAGATTTGCTGTCCATTAAGAAATCTGCCTTCCTCCATACTTTAAGAATAATAATTTCTGGTTTGAAATCTGACCTATGAGTCTCCACTATTGAAGAACTTGTGCTCTTTGGTCCTGCGGCCCCGTTCAGTGTAGAGCAAAGTGCTTAAATGACAAAACAGATGAAGACTGTTTCTATTTCTAAATCTTCAGGTATTTTAAGAGCACTCCCATTTTGTTTGATTTTCTTCCACTTTAGGACTCTCTAGGACTTAGGGAAAGCATTAACTTACACATTCTCTATAGAATTGTAAGGGTAACAGCAAATTTTAACACATTGATGAAAAAGCTGCTGACCACATTATACTCTGAGAAATGCTGGGGAGAAAAGCTTACTACTTACTATAAGAAAATGAAAGGTCTACATGCAAAAAGGTTGGTATATGCATTTGTATTTTTTGTGGGATCAGGTTTGTATCATGAGGATTGGAAACAACATAACTAGGTCATGTTAAAGCATCATCCACTCAAAGCTGAGAAATTAAAGAGGAAAAATTATTCTAAGAGCACCAAGTAAATATGTTATGCTAGCACAGGCTTTCTAAATTAGTGTATTGTACTGGCTGCATTCCCCTGGCATAGAGCAAAAAGTGTCAAATCCTGTTTATTTTTATTGAATCCCACCTGCCTCATATTTACTCAAAGAATAGAGGAAAATTACAATATCTAAATACCAAAATTATTTTAATTTTCCCTTCAACAAGTCTGATGAATGTACAAGGTCTTTAAGCTTCAAATATTACGACAGCTAATATTTTAATATAATTAAAGGCTTAAAAACACACTAAAGAAATTAATAATTCCCTGACAGCAGAAATGTTCTTGTATTAAGCAAACCATTGAAACAACCAACACAGAAATGCTTCATTTAATTCTGAGATCTTTCAGATGGCTCTTTCTCAAAGCATCTGCTATGTATCAGACTGATGAACTGCTTTATTAGCTATATACTGTGTATGGCACTATTTTTAGCACAACCCAAAAAAACCTGCCTGTTCTGCAACATCATTATGGGACACCAGCTAGGAGAAGGGCACAGTTCTGCCCAAGGGCCTACTATGAGGACAGGCTGTACATGGAAAATGGTAAATACCATGACATGAACACAGATAAAATACTCAAAAGCAAGAGCCTCACAACATTAATACCAACCTGGCTTCATACCCAGGAGAAAAATTTTTAACAACATGGATGGAAGGAGAAAATATACAAGAACACAGGTTTTATCATAGGTCATTCACTGTTTTGGATTTAAGTTTCATTCTGAAGGGTAAGGACACAGTTTTTGAAGTGCCTTAGAGGTACTTTAGAAAGTCTGTTGAGACTCAGCATGGCAAGTCAGTGTTGTTTTCCATATATTCAGTGTTCTGGAAGCCACTACAATCATTTAATAGATGTGCTGCTGCTTGCTAACCCAGTCTTACAAAACATTTCCAGCCATGCTGTAATGTCTTAGAACTTCTGCTTCATCAAAATCAGCTGCAGGTTTATGGAGTTTAACTCTGAAATTTCAATACTACAAGACTGGCTATTTCACTTATAGTTTACCCAGGGATCTACAGACACCTCCTCCTAAAAAACACAACTGCACTACCTTTTATACAAAACAAAAACCCATGTAGCAACAGCACACATCATTTTTATGGAATGCAATTCACCCTATCTTCCAACTTCCTACAGTTCAGGATTTAAAGAAACTATAAACTACCTTGAAACACAGACAATTTTTTTCTGTTTGTTTCCACAATGGAATTCTGAGTTTCATTTTAAGTGCTAATGTACTTACACACATGCAATAGTGAAAGACATGATCTGAGTCTCTCATGGACTTACCACATTAAGGAGAACACCTCTAGTACAATTAGGACCCCTACAGAATGCTCAGTGCTACCAGCCTATAACAATACTTTATTCCAGTTACCAGTTCATTAGAAACATCCCAAGGCACTGTGATTTGCAGCATCCAAATAACACACATTTTTAGTGGGGACATCAAGTTGAAGCTAAGAGCACTTTTGGTGCTGCTAGATCAGGAGCCCAAATCTTTGCAAATGCCAGCTGTAATTTAGATAAGGGGGATGGGGTAGAAGAGTTTTAACACTGTATGCACCACCTGCAAAACTTCAGGAGCTCTGTTCTTCTATTGAACTACCAGGATCTCATTAGGATCAATGAAAGATGATGTACTAAGAAATGCTTTAAAATTGATTTTCTTTTTTAAACAAATGGAACTACTTCCACATAACCTTCACATTCCCTCTGGCTCCTCCAGTCTGGCAGCTCTCAGCCAACAACAGACAAGCATCTTACTTAAAAAAAAAATAAAAGCACCAAGTTTTCCATTCATGTGTTGCCTGCCTGCTGGATTTCACATCTTTTCTACTACCAAAATTAAAGCCACGAGAGTCTTCAGGAAGAGGAAGTTCCAAAGTGGTAGGTACTTAAAATGAACTGCAGAAAAACAGCCTTGAAGAAATAGGAAAAGAACTGCTAAGAAAGAGCTTCACTGAAGAGCAGGTGACACACAGCAGCAGAGTTCACACACATTTCTCAAAACATCATTTTTATCTCTTCTCTCCCTCTCTGGTTCATTATGAGCACTAGAGAGCAAGGGATGGTGCAGCACCCATCTGCCAGGCACGGCTGCTGACGGCAGCTCCTCGAGGACTGCTCAGCACACAGGAATCCTCAGCAGCAGCCTCAGACACATGGGAGCTCGGAGGGATGCAAGCAATACACCAACACCTCTGTGAACTCAGGAGGACCAGGAAGATTTTTCATTTCTAAATATAGCAGGAGATTGAAAGTGATGACTGATTACAGTATGATGATCAGAGGATGTGAAAAAAGGCAGTCACTGCTGTTTGGTTCTATTTCTATCTCACATTATTTCATCTCTGTTTATTTAGTAGAGAAAGGATTACAATACCTTCCTACTTACAAACCAACATTACATCCAGAAGAAAACCGCATTATGATTATCTTAAAAATAACCAGCAAGTCCTATTTGACCTTTATAGTGAATTATTGTATAATTAGAAGACAATGCTCAAAACTGAGCAACAGTGTCATTTTGCAAACAACAGCCAAGTTAAAAACATTCATAAAAGCCAACACTGCTATTACAGTACACACCACTTTTCTTGGGTGGCTGAAGGATTTGGCCCTGTGCCTCCTGTGCTGCACTCCGTTCCTAGTAAGCAGCAGGGTAGGAGTTCAAGAGCATTCAGCACAGGCCTGTGTCTGCTCCCACTGCACTGCTCTGAGCTCATGCTGCCTTCCCTTGGAGGAGCTCCTCCAAGCTCTGCTCTTCATGCAAAACCACACATGTTTACATACATCCCCAGGAAAAAAAAAATCCACTTAAACATTAGGACGTTATCATCTACAACAGAGAACAACCCCTCAACTATTTTGCACAAGTTTCCTTCTTATCTTCATCAGAGGTTCTAGAATGGTGCTTAGTTATTAAACTGGGAGTAAAAGTTGTGGAAGTGCAGTTTATATCTAGCTGCTCTGCATTTCTCTATGAATGATCATTAAGCTCGTTTAATTTTATGCTTTTTTTATTTGAAAAAGATGAGGAATCAGACCTTGGGGCTGCAGTAGAAAAAGGCTTTGCAGACAATCATCTGAACTAAGAAGTGAAAATATATATTATTTTTCAGTCTGTAAATAGGTTAAAAGGAAAAGCCTATTTTGCAAAACTCAGCTTGCAATAAAATAAAAGTAGAGAATATTTAAATGGGATAGATTGTCATCTTTATTATGTCATTTTTATTTTAAGACCAGGAACTTTTCTTTCCTGAATGAATTGTGTATTAGTTTTTTGTAATTTTTAGATCACTAACTTCCTGAGAAAGAAGTTCTTCCTGTGGAGAACTTAAGAGAATTTGGCTGTTTCTTGTAATTCCCCCAACAGAACTGATATGCACTGGTAATTTTTAACAAAGCTCTCCAAAACATCCATTTCACTCTACAGCAGTTTGAACAAGTTTTCAGACAATTTTTAGTAATCAATTAAAAACGTAAACCATGTCCCCATTCTCTACCAAGACCAGAAGAAGTACAAAGGCAGGTTCTGCTCCCATTTAGATGTTTGGATTTTTTTTTTAATGGTCATCTTCCAATTTAACGACTCTGTGAAAGCCTAACATGATTCTGACAGTATTGATTGCTCTGATACCTTACGTGGAAGTTGCAAATAAATTCATCATTAAAGACAAAGAAGACTGGTAAACAGAAGGAAAGAGATAGGAAATTTCCACACATACAACAGTACAGCTATTGCTCCACAGCAGAAAGAGCACTTCAACAATATACCCAGAGCATCCAGTGCTATTTCTTTCCCTGTCTTCCCATACTCCTTCCCCAAATCATTTACACAGGAGGGTGTCTAGGGAGGAGATATCATTTAAAAAAACCAAACCAGTAGTTCCCCAAGTAGTACAACAGGTGGTCCTACAAACAAGCACCCCCAGTGCAAGGCAGTTTCAGTCTTAGTATGATTAGTGACCACATAATACTCTTACAAGCAGCCTCCAGACCCTCTGAGCGTGGAAAACAAGATGTCCTCAGAACAGTCCGACAGAAAACACTTGACTGCTCTTCCTCTTTACACCTCCTCACTGGAATGAGCCATTTCAGTCTCCAGTCCTCTTTAACATCCTCTTTTAACACCAGCAGCCTTTATAATAGTGCAGCTCTTACACCAGACACCCTTTCAGATGGATGTCTCCCCAAGAGGAATGAGGAAACTCCTCTAGGTGGAGATGCAGAATGCAAACAGCTCTCTATACTTACTTTACTCCAAAACCTAAGCCAGAAGGTAAAATGGCACATCCATCCCACGATCAGGTTGCAGAGGAAAATAAAGTGTACTACAAACAAAGGCTACAATATCCTGCACCTCCAACTATCTGACCTCAGGCACCCCCAGCCATAACGAGGGAGACTTACCTTTCTTCATCCTTAAAAATAAACTTTCGCAGCTTGAGATCCCGCAGTACCAGTCCACCATCATGGCAGTGTGCAACAGCAGAAGCTATTTGATAGAAGAGTTTGGCTGCCTCCTCCTCTTTAAGCTTCTTGCAGGTACGAACAAACGAATGCATGTCCCCATAGCTCCTTTCAAAGAACACATACGCTTTTGTCTCCCCGAGAATTATTTCAGTAATTTGGTTGATATTTTTATGCGCAGGCAGACAAAAACATGGTGCTAATAACTCCTGGTAGCAGCCAATATCAAACACCTGCAGGAACAATGACAGTAAAGCCAGGGTTAGTGACATGAAGGACAGTGAAGTCATGGTACATCTGATTCTACTAACAAAACCATCCCTAAGTACAATTTATGTCACTGCTGAAAGCTGCACCAATGTAAACAGGATGTCACAAACTCACAGCAGTGAGGACAAGACAAAGCAGACTGCACAACCCCACACAGAAGACACGTAACCTTGACAGGAAAGGCTAGTCTTCAAAACTGGTAGCAAGCACAGTTACATTAGCTAACACCTGATCAAATCTAGAATGCAATCTAAATTAAGCTGTGAAGACCAGAGATGTATAAGGGCAGTACTCAGAAGGAAGCATGTTTCTTTTCTATTTTCCATCCAAATAAACTCATAAAAAATACAGCCAGTAGCTTTGTATTGAGAGAAGCTGTCACATTAAATCCACCCTGATACACATGCCTGGCTCTTTTGATTTTATTAACCCATTAAAGCCTTAAGGATTTTCAGGCTTAAAGTATCATCTATTGCTATTCCTATTTACTTCCTGCCTTTCTTTCATCTCTGAAAAACAGCAAAGTCACTTTCACTTTCCAAGTCTCAGTTCCACAATAGCTGTTTATAAGATCAGAAGGACAACCCGGGAAATAGCTCTGCCTGTTGGAGCACAGACAAACACCCTTCAAAAGGCAAAGACAAAACCACCCTGAACTCTCTGCATTTCAATCAAGTGCTCCATTAAAAGCGAAGTGTCCCTTTACTACTAAGTATGTTATCACTGATCTTATGAATGAGCTGTAAGAACTAAAAAAGCTGCTGGGAAACCCAAATATAAAAAGTTACTATAATCTAGTGATGACGAATGAATCAGTATTTGAGTCAATTGAGAAAAGACCACATTACAAGAAAATGAAAGACTTCATTGAGAATAACAGAAGTCAGTGTGCTAAAAGAGACTGAGCAAAGTATTGATAGGAGTGATTTTTATTTTTAATTATACTTGCTGCAGAGGACTGCAAAGCAAGTATTAGCATTTCCACCAGCATAAAAATTCAATTAATATGTAACTTACTCGTGAGTGTTTTGTTACTTTAGTAAAAAGAATTTAAGGTAGTCATGTGTCCTTCGAACGAAATATAAAAATGAAGAACTGGTCTAGTTCTCTAACCACCGTTTTAAACTGCAATTATTTTTTACCTTTCTGTATTATAGCATTTGTGTTCTGATAGTGGGTATTTGTACCCTCTCTGAGAAGCAAATATCTTCCTGTTCTCTCTAAAGCTTTAAAAACCTTTAAAACTTGAGTGAGAAAGATACAGTTCAATCAAAATTTACCTGAGGCTTCAAAACCTGCATCCTTTAATGCTTCAGAGCACAATCCTAATAAACTCCTTCCACAGAAGAGAACCCAGATCCCAAGAAACTGGGACACCCCCTTCTCACCTGTAACCTCATACCTGTACTGCCTTACCCCAGCATAGGGAAAAACAACCTTAAAGGCAGACTGCCAAACAGAGCCAGCACATTTTACGGGGGGATGGATTAGCACCGAGGCATTCTGGTGACATGGTGCACCAGGGAAGCAGAACCAGGGCGGGGAGGGGGTGTTGCTAAAATCCCTGGTGTGCAATTCATTCCAGAGGAGAATTCATTGACATTTGGATCTCAAAAGTCGTAACTACTACATTCTAAGTGAATGGCTCTTCTACAAAGCAGCTGCTATAAAATAAAATTTAAGCAGGAATATTCATGTGGCTCAAACCCTCATGTGAAAAGACAACTTTCCAGAATTCTCTCCTAAACCAGATTATCATAATGTAAATTAGTTACATTTTGTGGTTCTCAGACTATGTTAAATAAGTAGCTCTGGTTATGTACAAGTACTGTGTTTGAACGGGGGGTAGATAGGAAGCACTATCATACTGCTACAGTGTCAAATACCTTCTATAAAGGGCTTCTTTGTATCCCAGCTTTTAAGATCCCTGGCCTCAATTCAGCAAATGTCCAATAAGCTGCAGTTTGATTTAGGTCTCGCTGGGAATTAGAAGTGAGAAGTTACCATTGTTTGGATGCCACAGAGCCTTGAAGCAAATAACGGCATCTGTACAGCCGGTGGGTGCAGCCAAATGAATCTTGAGAATCATCAGTATGTGTCTGTTAAACCCAGCGTTTCTGCAAGCAATCTCTAAGAGCATCTTCAGTAAGATACCAGAGAGCACCTCTCTTTGCCGGGAGGCTACTTGACAAATAGTTGTCATGATACTGCAGGCATTTTAAAGCACGCATTAAATTAAGCCGAGTTCAGGACTGACAACTGCATCCTCAGAAACTAGCAAGCCAGGCTAAGATCGTATTTTTGGAGCACAGCTAGTAGTGCCTCGCACATATGGAAAAACTGATACTATTCAAATGTCAGGATCAGCTCAAAAACATACAGCTTAAATGGAAGGGAGAAAAAAATAACGGCCCGGTCTTTGTGAGCTGCAGTTTTACTGTTCATACTGTTATCAACAGTGCCTTAATCCTGCAAACCAAACAGGAAACAAAGAAGCGCATAGCCCCCGCTTTACTACTTGCCATGCGAGTTCACCTAGAATTTCATGCAGAGCAGCAGCTTTGTGAGACCTGTTTATTTCATGAAAAGATGCCAATGTCCTAGAGTGCAGCACTGTACTACTGCGTCGAGCTGGGCTTTCATTCTCGAAATTCTCATGTTCTATTTCAGTTTGGTAACAAAGCATCCAGTTCAACAAGCAATATTAGTTCTTAGCAAAGCCATGGGCCTTTTTCCCCTAAATAATCACATGAAGTCCCTAGGTTTCATCAGGTTTTATAACTCAATCAGTTAGCATATTTAAATTGCCCTCTGAACTCCAATCTTCACAAATAGCAAGGAGGAGCAATTATTTTCACTTCTCTGCTACAGCCTAGTCCATAACTTTTTATGAATCAAGTATGAGAAAGTATGAAACAGTGAGCAACACTATTATTAATCCCTGGAATACTAGTAAGCTATAATACATCTACTTTTCCATCTAGAAATTTGCCAAATGGCATTAATTCCGTGTTTTGGGAATAATACAAACACTGCAGCATGTGTTGCAAGGTTGCAATTTGCTATGTAGTTATAAAAACTGCTACTGGGTACTGCTTCAGTTTGCTGGACATAAGTCTGTCTCGCTACAGACAATAAGAATCACAATTTGGGAACAAAGGATAATATTCCCTCAGCTCAAAAAGAGAAAAACACCCCTCCACAGATGTGCACGCATGCGGATTTCTTTTTCCCACAGCTCACCTTTTAATAGTAGGAGCAAATTGGGAGGAGGCAGAGAAAAGCCGGCAGGCTACAAAGAGTGGGCTAGCTATTCTGTCTGCACTTCTAAAAACCGTAGGTGTGCAGGTTTTATTCTTACTCAGTTGGGCAGTGGGGGAGGATGCTGTTTGCAAACAACCTCCACCGTGAGGGAGCTCAGGCTGATTAATTAGATGTGGTTCTTTTTTTTAAATCACTTTTAAGATAAAGCCGATGGCAATCTGCCCCCAGGCCCCCCCCGCTTCTCCATCCTCTTCCGTAGCCAAAGCACAGAATTGGGGGCAGTAAAAATCGAGGAAGTCAGCAGGTCCCAACACCTTAAAATTAGCTGGGGATTCCCTACTCCATTTTGAAAAGTGAGTGTGTGGAAAGATGAGGCTTTCTCCTGGTCTGAACTCACGTTAAAACCTACTTCAAGAACGGCTCTTTCCAGAAAAATATCCCCCTGCCAATAGAAGGCAGACCTGGCTCCGGGCCACCGCTATAACGTGGCCATTGTCTGGAGAGAGGGAAAAGTTACAGGATTCGCCTATAATCCTGTCTCCCTGCCTTTTGTTTCTCCACTATTCAATAAACGAGGTACACGGCCATGCTCGCCCTCCTGCAAGACACGGGAAACCCGGGCGCGACAGGGGAGAACCGGGGGAGGGGGAGAACAAGGAGAGGCATTACCTTGCAAACCAGCTCCTCGCCGCTGTGCAGATGTACGGCTCGGAAAACGTGGTCTCCCTCGAGAGGCTCCAACAATAAGTATTTCCCGATGCAAGAAACGCAATGCGACAAGTTCGGGGTCTCCGGCGGGCTCGGCGAGCCTAGATTCGGGCTAAAACTCTGGCTTGGCTCGATGGACCGTATGGACGAGAGCTCTTCAAAATCCTGGGTTTTATTCCGCGGTCTCCCATATCGTGCTATCGTGATAGGGGTTGACCTTTGTATGTTCATGAGTATGGAGAAGACCAGCCGAGACGCGGCACCGGAGCCCTGGCGTGGAGCGCGGTCCCTCGCCCGTCCAGCTGCGGCTGCCTTTGTGTGGCGGAGGGGGGGCGGGAGCGGGAGCGCGGCGGCGGCGGGCGACCAGCCTCAGCGCCGCGTCCTGGGCACAGGGAGAGAGCGCTCAGCCCGCGGCCCTTTGTTCCCGCCGCCGGCCGGGCGCGCAGCGGCGCGGAGCAGCGCGGCGGCGGGGCAGCGGCGCCCGGGGCCGGGGAGCCGAGGGGCGGGCGGCGGCGCGGCCGGGGCTGGGCGGCCGCCGCTCCCGCGGGGCGCGCAGCGCGGGCGGCAACAAAAGGTCGGTAACGCGGTGTGCGCAGCGGGACCGTCCTTCCGCTCCCCTACGGCCCGGCAGCGCCGCGCTGCCGCGGCTCGGCTGTAGATGGCGCGGGAGCCTCGCCGCTAGCGCCCGGGGCGCTCCGAGAATGCCCCGCGAAACAGCGAGGGAGCATTTAACTTGGGCCGACAAAGGAGCGGGACCGCGGCGGGCGGCTCGGGGGAGCCGCACCGGCACCGCGGGAGCGCGGCGGGGCAGCGCGCACCGCTCCGCGCTGGCGGAAAGGAACGCGCTGTCGTTGTCGCGACAGAACAAAAAGTGCAACCAGAGAATAGAGAGCGCTCCCACGCTCCCCCTGCACAGCGGAATTGTGAGCGGGGGCTCGCTGCCTTCGCCGCGCTTAATGGAGTTCACGCACAAAGAAAAGAAAAACCGGCGCGGCGAGAAGGGCCCGAGTTCTTACTGCAGGGGCTGGGAGGGCGATAAGCGAAAGGCCATAAGGGATAACTAAATAGAATCGCTTAAAAAAAAATAAATGCAAAGAGCAAATTTTGTTTGATGGGTTTTTTTTCCTCTTGGGGATAGAACATAGGCAGGAGAGGGTAGCCGCGCCGCTCCCCTCCACCGAGGCACCGTCTCCCCCCGGCGTATCAGTAACTACTTACGTGGCGGGGACGCTGGCTGCCTCCGTGCTCGCTGCCGGCCGCCGCACGCCCGCACGGTGCCCAGCGCGCAGCCCGACTGCCCCGCCGCCGCCCGCCCCGGCCCGGCCCGGCCCGGCCCCGCCGCGCCCCGCCCCGGCCGCCCCGCCCCGGCCCGCCCCGCAGCCCCCCCGCGCCCGCCGCGCTCGGGGTAAACAAGGTGAGACGTCCTTCCGCAGCCCTGCCGAGGGCTCGGGGGCGGCCCGCCGGCTCGGGGCCCCGGGGCTGTGCCGGTGTATCCCGGTGTATCCCGGTGTATCCCGGTGTATCCCGGTGTATCCCGGTGTGTCCCGGTGTGTCCACCAGTGTGAGCAGCGCTGTGCAGCGGTGGGATGCTGACCGCGGCTCCCCCGCTGACAGAGCTCCGGCAGGTCCAGCCTTTCCGGGAATTGCCCTTGCGGCTGGGGTCGAGATGTTGGTATTAATTTTAATATCAAAAATAATAACACTAATAATGGTAGTGGCTTAAGCTGCCCTAAAAGCAGAGTCCGCTCCGCTGTCGGGCGCGGGGGATGATGCGGTATCTCATGTGCTGGCCGATTTTTTTCTCAATGAAGCAATCGTTTTTTTCCGGGCAGCTCGGGGCCCCGCATACTTAGGGGAGCACTGGCGCTTGTACCCTGGTGCTGCCGGGTGGGAGGAGTTCTACCGACTCCAGACTTGTCTTAATCCGTCCCAAAATTAAAACGGAGGGGAGGAGGGAGTGCGGGGGAAGGGAAGACAGGGGGAAAACGTAAACCTTTTCGCAGAGAAAGCCATGAATGAGGTCGGTCTGTCTCCGCCCAGCACCACTGCGGGCTGTCGGTTTGGTGTTTTTTGTTTTGTTTTGGGGGTTTCTTTTGTTATTTTTGTTTGGATTTTTGTTGTTGTTTTGGTTTGGTTTGGTTTTTCAGTTTTTTGTCTTTTTTTTAAATCCGTTCCCTTTTGTTTAAATAACAGGAGTTTATATATATATTGAAATTTGATGAGCAGTTCTCTGAACTCCTAATGAGCCTGATATGTACTACGTAGTTTTTGTCTGGATGTTGGTGGTGATTTTCTTTGAAACAACGACCAAAAAAAGTCCAAACCGAACCAAATACTCAAACCTCTTCCCCCAATCCCCTCCTGCCCCCAAAAAAGGGGGGAAAAAAGCATACAAGCTAACAGTAAGAAGAGAAGAGGTCTGTGAGGAGAGCAGGGCTCTGTCCTGGAGCTGCAGCCTTTGCAGGGCAATGCCAAGGGACTGTCTGTGTCTTGTGTGTCCTTTCCCCCCATCAGCACAGGGGAGGATCAGAAATGGGAGAAGGGTTGTTTTGGACACCTGTGAATTTGGGTGATACCTGTTTTCAAGGAGTAGAAAGAAGTGAGTATGACAATAATGAAATAACCAATGGAGGAGTCAGTCCCAGAGGTGCCTGCTTTGAGGCAGAGAAACAACCTCTGAATAGGGCTCCAAAGAGGCTAGGGATGCTGCAGTCAGGCTCCAGTCTTGACAGGGGAGGCTTTGGAAATGCCTCTCTAGAGCATTGCACCTGCCTCATGTCTTGTCACTAGGAGCTGTAAGTGCCCTGTTTTACAGTTATAAGATAAATACCATGAGAAAAGGGTTGTCATGATTTTAAATTTGGCATGGAGAAGATGAGCTTCTGGCAGCAGGGATTTAACCTGGTGAATGTCACTTGGGTAGTGAGGAAGGGCACAGATGCAGTGATCTGCAGCAACCCCTAGGACGACCTGCAGACTCAGTGTTTGCTATTTGCTGTGAAATGAAAAGGTGCTTTTCCTGCCTTTCCTCACTTATTCCCATCACCTCTGAATAGTTTGTAACTTTTCAGTACCATTTTTAGAAATGAGATGAGCAGTGCCGGATACTGAATCATTGCAAATAAGGACAAGCCATAAAGTTATGCAATACATTCTCCAGTATCACATCCTGTGATCCAAATCAAACATTCTTTTCTTAGTAGATGGCTTTTTACACAATTTCTCCCTTCCTCTCACCCTGCATACTCCTTCTGACTGTGACAAAGACCTAGGCTCTTTCATCAACCTTTGTTCTGTAAATAAATGTTTTCTGTTTAACTTTCTTAGTTACCCAGCATCAGCCGGAGCCACAGTCCCTAGCAACTCTGGAAAGGCTATCCAGAGCCTCCAAGGCCAACAGGAGAAAGGGGTGAAAGGAAAAAGGGATGGAAAGTCTAATTCATTGTAAGCCTCTGGTTGGAAATTCCTGATTTTTATCAGAATTGGGATTTACATCTGAAGGAGGGATTCCATATTCAAGTTTGGAATGAAGAGATTATAAATTTTGAGTTCTGAATTAAATCTACACTGTAAGGCACAGAAGGATACCTACTGTGTGTAATGACACAGTTACCTATCCATCAAATGAGTTTTAATCTTTCAGAATATTTTAATTATTTCACTCCCTTTGCTATGGAATCCCTCCCCAGACCTAATACTTTGTAAATTTTGCTTTTGCTCTCAATTATGTCAATGAAGATACTGCCATTTCAGTCCAATGTTAAAGTAATAAGCTGTAAATGAGCAAACCCCTTTATCTGCCTCATAGAGACATGAGGTGTACATAATTCTATGCCCATTGTTTTAGTCTGTGTCAGTCAGCTGAAGTTGTAGAGGAAGATCAACATATAACATGTGAGATGGGAAGATGAATGAGATCATGAAAGTCAGATCAAAGTCTGAAAACCAAGTCAGCATTGAAGCTTTGCCTAACTGCATCTCCCGTAGCTGTCGTGCTTAACCAAATGGGAGAGATGTGACTTGGAACACATCAGTCAGAATGTCAGGGCTAAAGGGATGCCATTGGCTGGTCCAAGTTTAAATGTCATGTTCACAACACTTAGAAACTCCTGTTTGAAGTAAACTGTGTTGGTAGTGGCAAATATTGTTTCATTGTATTTTCTCATCCAATTGAATGAGAGAAATTTTCTGCATATGTATGATAACTAAAACAGTTAGTGAATCAGTGGTACTACCAAAGAAGTAGCCAGCAGATTGGCATATGAGAAAGGTATCATATCTCCCCATGATCTTTCTGAAGACACATAGAATGAAGTTAGTTAGGAAGGATTCCTTTTAGGACTGCTTACTGACTGACTTTTGCTCTTTGGACTTCATTGTGCTGATCTACCTTGCCTGGAAACTGTCACCAAAAGAGACAATGCAATTAGAAGTTTCTTTATCTTTTAAACAGACCCTACAATTATCTACTTCTGTGATGATATTGTCCAGTAGTATAGTGCTGAGTTCTTGCTCTGGAATTGCTCTTTCTGCAGGAAGTGCAGCTGCAGGAGTGGAAGGGGGGAAAGGGGGAGGTGAGGGTGTGTGTGTGATGTTCTCCCTGGAGCATTTTTCCTATTCTTAAGTATCCCAGAAGAGTCTATGGAGAAGGCCTTACATTTCATGCTATGGAAATCATCCACCAAAACTCTCCCCTATTCTGTATCCAAGGTTTATCAGCAGGTAAACAGCAAAAATAGGTGTAGAAATTGGAGTTTCTTGTTTCAGGGACTGAGAAAAAAATATTAAATTAAAAGTGTGACACAAATCTGACCTTGTCAGATTTATGTCACACTTTTAATTTAATAATTTTTTAATATTAAAAGAAAATATCTTTTTCTGTAACTCTGATTTTCAGTCTATTTGATCTTTTAACATCTGCTTTTGCAAATATGGACTCTGTGTGGACAGGAGCCAACCCTCCCCTCCAAGCCAATAGCAGTCTTTCTTCCATTGATGTCAATGAGCTTAGATCAGAGTACAAGTCTTGTGAGTGATCAAAGACAGCCCTACATTTAAAAGACTTCCTTTTCCAGGTCAATCTGCTCCTTGTCCCTTTACAGAAAATATATTATCAGTGTACAAACACAAGCTAGAACAAAAAGGATAATAATTTTTGAAGTGGTAAAAGAAAGACCCTAATTTTACTTTTTTGCTGATTTACAAAGTGCAGAGCTGAGCCTACTGGGAACATTAAACAACTATTAAGTGCCGAGAACTGTCATAGTGAGAAGACAGTTTTATTTCAGCAAAATTAATCCAAGTAGCTAGCTCAAAATATGCTTGAAAGTACCTCCCCATCAGTTGTCAAGGCTAGATCCCCGT